ATATATATATATATGTGCTTTAATTCACCACATATTTCATTAGAAAGAGCGCATATGAATCTGAAAGGCGGTACACTGATGCAGGGCCTCAAACTGCCGTCACATTAAAGAGCACATAATACTTATGGAGTTACTGATTTTTTTGATCTGTAGTTCACATATTTACATTCTTGGCAGACACATTCCTCCCAGAGCGACATATCCAAAAAAGTCTCATATTGAGTTTGTGACAATTGTTTCAGCAGGTAGCTGAGGATACAGTTGTTTTGTGAATGTTAATTAATCAGTGTTACAGTTACAGACTGCTCATAAACTCCTCAGACAGGACATAGCTGACTTTAAATTATTGATATCCAGGCCATAAATGTTTTCTTTTCATCTTTGATTCGCAGCAGTGCTTCTGAATAGGTGCGGTTATTAATTGTTGTATGATCTGTTTGTTAGTATTACAGCATGCTTGACAGATGTGTTATGGCATCTTTGCATTGCTATAATTAAATATGCAATGGTGCATGAAGCAATACAAAAATATAAAAGGCCTCCCTCAATAAAGAAGAAAAAAGCTCTTCAGCATGTGATATGTTATTCTCATGACTGTCATTCACTCTTTGCTGCATTAAAGGTGTGAATGCACTTTTTTGTTTTTTTTTGCTACTTCAGATGCAGCTTCTGTGCTACCTTTTGCTTATGTTTTGTGTAATAGAGTATCGTTCTCATCAGAATCCCTCTTACATCTAATTCTACTAAGGGTTAAATCGAGTTGAGCTTTGATGAGTCATTCAAGGGCACCCCTCAAATACATTTTATAGGAGACTGTAGGACGGTGTGTTCCCCTGTCCTTTTCCCCTTCCTCTTTCTTCCTCTCTTTTTTCCCCTCTCTCACGGTTTTATGTAATCTTTTCTGCCCACAAGAGACAGCAATAGGTCCCCGACCAGTAAAATATGTTAATGAGGATTGATTGGTTGAGTAAAATGCTTCATTCATCAGGAAATAGGAGATCCAGCTCCCATTCACAGCTTCAGCCAAGAACTGATCACATCATCAAAGATTTCCCCATAAATTCACAAACCGGCACGAAGGAACGGCTGAACTGTGGAGACTGAGAAATATCTTCCCTCATTAATTTTGGTGGGATATTTTATGAAAGTCCCTGTTTTGCCGGTTCTATCCGTATGTGTCTTTAGTCTTGCACACACTTGACTGGATCTGTATCTCCAGAGACTCCAGAGCCCATCTCTCCTGTCTTTGGCAATGTTGCCATGCCAACAGCTCCTCTCAACAGGCTGAAATATTCACCCCTCCCACACACACACACACAAATGCACACGCATATTGACCCCTCCTACAAACACACATTTGGTCACACACATTCACATTAATGCGCACTCAAGCAGATTTCATATATAGAAGTGTTATTTATAACCTTGTAAGACCTTTAAAGATAAAATTCAGTTTGGGTCTGCCTGCAATGGTCTGTTTTTACTCCCTTGGGGAACCGAACTACTGATCTACAAGCATGCTTATCTAAATGGGTTACAGGGTCTATGGCTCTGTAATTCTGAACTAACCCCAGAGAGCCATAACTCAAGGCCCAGACAGCAGATACAAGAGAAACATCCAGAAAAACAAGAACACATCTGTTTCTCCTCAGGACACGTGCCATGCGACTCGACACCCATCTTGGAGAAGTCCATTCCTGTAACAAATGATGACACAGTTTGATTGCGTTTCCAGCAGAACTGAAAGCCAAACACACAATTTGGCCAGTGAAAAGAGAGCGGGAGGAGAGTAGTGGAGAGGAAGAGAGAGAAGGAAAATGGAAGGGGGGTGAAGATCGATGTCTTGATGAAGGCCAGGTTTTTGAAGAGCTTGTCCTTGCTATTAACAGGAAAGAAAAGAAAAAAAATCCAGAGAGGATCTAAACTCTTACACTGTCTTGTGCACTGATGAGAGAACTGTACTGTTAACATGTACTGTACTGTACTGTACTGTACTGTATGTGTGTTCTTTTGCTCTTACACACTGTCTTGTGCACTGATGAGAGAACTGTACTGTTAACATGTACTGTACTGTACTGTACTGTACTGTATGTGTGTTCTTTTGCTCTTACACACTGTCTTGTGCACTGATGAGAGAACTGTACTGTTAACATGTACTGTACTGTACTGTACTGTACTGTATGTGTGTTCTTTTGCTCTTACACACTGTCTTGTGCACTGATGAGAGAACTGTACTGTTAACATGTACTGTACTGTACTGTATGTATTCTTTTGCTTGTGTATGCACCAGCTCTGATGTCCTTTTCTTTAACACTGACTCCTCAGACCGTTTGAAATCATAATTTTGATGACTATTTTTGCAAACTGTGTGGCCTTAGCTGTCTACATCCCTTTCCCCGAGGATGATTCCAACGCAACCAACTCAAACCTGGTAAGAGACACTCTGCCTCACAGCACAAGTCAGATATTGCGCATGATGATGATTTGAGAGTGATGATAATGATGATGATCATTATGGAATTAAGACAATGCAATGGCAATGACCGTAGTGGTGAGGATGATTATGGCTGTGATGGATGTTATGTTATACTGGTGGTAATGTGGTTATGATAATGGTGAGGATGGTATTGGTTGTGATGGTAATAGTTATGTGATGTGATTGTGGCGATTATAGTAGCAGTGAGGATGGTGATGGTTGTGACGGTGATGTAATAGTGAGGATAATACTGGTTATGACAGCGTTTGATGATAATGGTGGTGATGGTAGTGGTGGGGATATGGCTCTAAAAATGTAAAGCACTTTGGCCAACAGACTGTTAAATAATGCTTTATAAATAAAGGAAGAAGATGATGGTAATGTGATGTTGATGATAACGGTGATGACAGGGGATGGTGTTGAGGATAAAGATGGGTTTGTGATAGTAATGATGGTGGTGATAATTATGACAATGATAGTAACAGTGAGGATGGTGATGGTTGTGACAATGATGGTAATGATGAGGGTAATACTGGCAGTTACTGGTAATGATGATGGTGGTGATAGTGGAGGGGATAGTTATGGTTGTAATTGTGATGGATGTTATGTGATTGTGGTGATATGTGGTGGTGAAGTTGTGACGTTGATGATAATGGTGATGGCGATATGTGAGGAATGTGATGGTGAGGGAAAAATGGTTGTGATGGTTATGTGAGAGTAATGATGGTGGTGGTGATGATGATGATGATTATGATTATGGCAATGTTAGTAGCAGTGAGGATGGTGATGGTAATGGTGGGGATGGTTATGGTTGTGACAGTGGTGTTAATGGTAAGGATAATACTGGTTGCAACAGTGATTGTAATGATGATGGCGATGGTAGTGGTGGGAATGGTTATGGTTGTAATGTGAGGATGATAATGGTGTGAAAGAAATGATGGTGGTGGTGATTATGGCAGTGAGGATAGTACTGGTTGTGACAGTCACAGTGATAATGGTGATTGTGGTGGTAGTTATGTTTTGATGATGTAATGGATGATACTGCTTTTGACGGTGATTGATAATGGTTATGGTGGTGATGATGTGATGGAAATAGTAAGAATAATAATGTTAGTGACAGTCTTGATGAGTGATAGAGGTTATGTGATGGTGGTGGTAATGTGATGATGGTAGTGTGATGTGGTGACCATATGCTAATGACGGCAATGATAGTGGTGATTACATGATAGTGATGATGGTGGTCATGATGATAGTGGTTCTGCTGCTGATGATGTTGTGGTTATGATGTGATGTTGGTGATAGTCGTGATGTTATGATTGTGATGATGACAATGATGATAGTGATTGCTGTTGGTTGAATGATTAAATAGCTCTTAACTTTTGTGATATGCAATTGCATTTTAGAACTTACATTGGATTTTGAATTTGAAGTGCAGATTGCTGAATCTAGAATAGAGAGATTGGAACTCTGTAAGCCTAAGAACAGCCTGTGTGCTTCAGTGCTCAATGTACAGTACATTCAGCCTGGATGAATGCAGAATGATGGAGTGTGTGGGTAATCTGGATGTTTGGCTGTGGAAGGAGTTCTCAGACCTCTCAGAGATTCATGCTGTAGCCTGAGTAACACTAATCCATCCACACATCAGCTCTCCAATCTGAAGCTGCATTATGTCTTTTCCCAGCGAAGAACACAATGAAAACCTGTTAATGCGTGAATGAAAGCATGTGCCACGCTTTTGGGGGCACATAGCGACTTCATTCGTTATGCAAGTATTTTCGTTTTCTCTGTATGTATATCAAAAAATGTTTTAAATTGAGCCAACCAGCTCTGAGATTAATTATTTTGGTGAATCACTTACAACATTACAAACGTTTTTTTTTTTAAAGGAATTAAAAAAAAAAAATTATGAGGCAATTAACTACACATCCTATAAAGTATTTGAGAATGACGTATACAAAAATATCTGTACAATATAAATAATTAAAAAATGCTCTTTAGAAATTGATTTTAAACATATAACATGTAACATATTTTAAGTTTATTTCAAAATATTAAAGTATATAAAAATTATGTAAAGTATATCATCTTTTGTATGTATTAATATATACATTTTTGGAAGACTCAGTTACGTAATTTACAATGCTTCATGGGAGTGGGCTTTTACTGACGCAATTATGTCATTTGCAATGCCTTATGGGAATGGGCTTTTATTGACTTGATTGTGTCATTTGCAATGCTTAATGGTTAATGCTTAATGTTTAATTTTACTGCGATTATCATTTCCATGGTAACAGTTACTTCTCTCATTGGTGAAGCTAGATCCAGTATTATGGTAATGTGTTTTTTTTTTGTGGGAATTCAGTAATTAAACACATTGTTGTTCTTGGTTCAGAGCTCACGGTATGTCTGTCAGTTTAAATGTTTATATTTTTATTAAAAATTATTTCTGAACTGGATTTTTACTCCAAGAACCAGGCTTTTGCAGGCAGGTTAGAGTGACACAAGCATGGTTTCCTTCATTTGATACATACACCCCTCTGTTTATGGGCTATGAACGGAATCTTTTGATGGGTTGAGGTTGTCATGGATATGGTATCCTTGGTGATGGTAAAATGCACAGCTACTGTGGTAGCACAGTAACTATGCAGCCAACCTGCAGAGAAGAAGGTGCATTCACTATGCGACAAAACTCTTTGTTAACTATCCACTTATCTGTTGCTCCCTTCCACGGTTAGTGATATGAAGCTCTGATTCGATGATCACAGATTCGAAGAGCTCTCTTGTGCTACAGCCGATCTAGCACATGTATCTCAGCCCCAAAGTTACTGGTCAAGCTGAAAGGAAGCTGGTATCAAAAACATTGTTAATTAAGAAGGAACTTCACACCATTATTTATTATTCATAATGATCCAGAAATCTGGTAACACTTTTCACATCTGCAATTTTTTTTTCTTGTATTCTATTGCTTGAACAAGTAGCCGACTAATCAAAAACCTGTATAATTAGGCTGGGTTTGTTCTTACCTGACCCTGACTGGACGTGTTCTTTAAGGTGCATTTATGTAAGAAGCGTTCTTGCAAAAACAGCTAGATGGAGCGCAATAGAATGGAACAGAATGCAAGAGTCTCAAGATGCGTAAAGGATGGACTATTTTTAACTTGACATGCCGACTTAAAAATGCAACACTTGTAGTGGGACTGTGTGAAGTGTGATGCAACGACAAAAGACATCCATTTTAATGTGTTCTGTATGCCTGTAGTGTAGCCTGTAGCACTTTAAAGCAGATGAGTTTAAAAATACAGTGTTTCCAAAAGAGTTTTACTGTGAATGCCCAAGTACCTGCTAGTTAAAACACAATGACTAAAAAATGTAAGAAATAAATAATAATTAATAAAACAAATACACAGCAATCGGCTAGTCAATCATCCAGAATATATGTGAGTGTGTTTATGGATATTTTATGCATAATTTCCATATGCTTTAAAAATCTCTTTTATTAGTTTAATTTAAATGACAGCATATAAATCTTTTTTAAATATATAATATGTAACCTTTTTTAACAAATGCATTTTTAAAGTACAAAATTTCATGTCATAATTAAAATACATAACTAAAATACATAAATTAATATACAATAAAACACTATTAAATGAATAAAAATATTTATAATAATCCGCTGTAGAGTCTGCACCAGAGCAAGCTTGGCAAAAAAAGGGCATTGTGACTAAAGAAGGGACTATGTGTGTTTATATGCATATATTGAGTATTGAGTTTGTATACATGTGCATGAATGTGATTGTATCAAGCAGCAGTGGTGGATGAAGTGACCACTGTGACTTCATCCACGGTGACTTCCACTTCTACCAAAGTCATTTTCTGGTAAGATACCTGTTATCTTACCAGAAAATGACTTTGGTAGAAGCTGAAGTCACCGTTTAGCATATTACTTAAGTAAAAGTTTGTAAGTATATTTATTGTTTTAAGTATGAAAAGTATATATTTTTTTTAAATTAAACATACTTAAGTATTGAAAGTTAAAGTAGAAGTAAATGCAAAATGGAAAAGGAGCAAATAAGTATTAAAAATGTTTATACACAGTTTGAGCAGCAAGATTGTATTCTGTTTTAACTCTTTCTTCCATTTTGTATCTTTGGGTAAGCATAAGAGGCACTTCATTCGGTACTTAGTTTCTTTCATTCCAACATAAGAAGTCATTTTTGGAATCTGCATCTGAAGTGGCATTTAGATTCATTTACACAGTTTAATGTAACTCAGAGAGGACATGGATGCATTTAACCTGCAGTTACAAAATGTATAAATAATGCTTCGTTTTTAAACATAAAATTCGATCACGAATTCGTGTACAGTTTATGGAGCTAATCGCAAAATTTTAGGGGGACTGAGTAGTCATTTTAGGCCAAAATGGCCTAGCGACGCCCATGACTTGAGTGGACAATGAAATCATCCGTGGTTGTACGAGCACTTGTTTGCACAGGTGTTTTTTGGGAGTCTAGAGGTCCTTGCACACAGAGTCCGAAATTTTTGTATGCATTTTTTCGTATTCGTCATCCTAAAAATTCGTCATACACAGAAACGGATGAGAAAAATACAGAAAATTGAACCCGATCCGGATTTTTTTTATGACAGACGAAAGTTTCAGACAAGAATTTCGTCCAAGGACCTTCAGTGTGCAAGGTTTCTGTGTGTGACGAATTTTTGGGATGATTAATACGAAAAAACGCATACGAAAATTTCAGACTCGGTGTGCGAGGACCTTCAGTGTGCAAGGTTTCTGGGTGATGAATTTTTAGGATGATGAATACAAAAAAACACAAATGAAAATTTCGGACTCAGTGTGCAAGGACCATTAGACTCATGTGCAAACAAGTGCTTGTACAACCACGGACGATTTTCGTATGCGTTTTTTCATATTCGTCATCCTAAAAATTTGTCAC